CAACTTCTCGAGCACTTCGATAACTCATCGGTAAAACCTTCGCCAATCAGCACCAGGCAAAAACGACCTTCGTCGACATCATCGAATCCCGATCTAACAATTTTCATGCTGACTGAATTAATCGGCTTTTGTTATGTTGGCATTTAAAAGGCGCTTATTTCCAATGAATTGAATGAATATTCACTGAGTTATGGCAGTTTAAATTAGACTTATAAAAACGCACAAAACATAAATACAAAACATACCTGCACTTGAAAGTAGTTCAAATTATGAGTCCTGGTGCTTCTATAATGGGTATAAATAACTTTTTCATTGATTCATTTAGAATTTCATTGATTGTGTGGTTAGCTTTATTTAGTTATTAATTTTTTGGTCGAATTCTCAAATTCCAAATGTATACTCTTGAATTTTAAAAGGTTTGTAAATATAGGCTGTTTTCAAGAAAAGAAGTTGTGTAATGAACAGAAATTGTAAACATATCTGATTTTTTGTGAACAAAGCTTGGGGACTTGTAATATAAACAAAAAGTCAAAGGTAAAATTCTTAAAATAATGTTTTTTCCATACGATATATGAGATTATATGGTTTTGAAGTGAAGTATTTTTGATATTTTGATGGGTGTGCTCACTGTTTCAAGAGTTCAGCAAATTAGGCAAATAAGAGGCCAATTATGCTTCACCATATGTTTTAGCTTTCCAACGTTGCACAGTCTAAAAATGAATAAATCTAAAATCTAGATAATACAGAGCAAAGCGAAAACTCCTTCCCGAAAAGTTACTGCTTGATATAAACTGTATAAATAGTCAAGAAGTTGTCGTTTATAATAAATAATAGATTTTTTTTATATTTACTTAGCTTCATTGTAATGGTTTAGGTGATTAACGGATTAAAGGAAAAACGACACCTTGTGATATAAAGGAGATGTCTTCTAGTGACCTGTTCAGGATAGACGATGACCTAAGAGGACAACTCCTCGAGAGGATGTACAATGGGTCATATGTGATCTAAGTGCTATGGGCTTACACTCACCCTCCCTACTCTACAGATACAGATACAGCTATTCCTTTCCGCTACCAAAACCAAAAATGTTGTAGGTGGAAAATGCCTCGATTAAAAATATAGTGTACTTATTTACTTTCCGAAAAGTTAGCAATTTTAAGAAATACATGTATATAAAAAGTTTCAATAAATAACTTAATTCATATACAAAATTCATAGATACGACAAGTTACTGACTACACTCAACAAAAGTTTTGCAGCTTCACAGTAAGGAATTACATGTTCTATCATAAACAAAATTCCGCATTGAAATAATGCTGACTGGTTTAGCATCATGAATGCTGCGCTTTTGTATTTCGTTATCATCTAATTCCTTGGTTTCTCTGAAAGCCGCAGAGAATGGCAGGAGTCGAATCTGTCTTTTTCGGAAGGGGACGGATCATCACCTGATAGATATTCATAAATGATCTTTAACCAAGATATGGATATTTTTTTCAATTTTCTCAAGAATGTGTTTGAAATTTTCGCCAATAATGAATGCTAGTTGGTTCGCTTATGAAGTAAACACTGTTTGTTCTAGAATGAAATCCTGAAGAAAGTGTTTTATGCATATTTTGAACAAGTAGTGGTGTTACGCCGCTGGACTGTCTGAATTTCATGTCTTGGGATTGTCTCTTTTATGTACCATATAAGTGTGGTGCACACGCTCTTTCATAGGTGTGGTTTTTAATGGTAAAAAAATGAATATTTTCGATACAATACAGATACATAATTTTTCAGTAGTTTATGGTTTCCCGAGGCGTTTTTTTTTTGAATGAAAGAAATTACAGGCGGGTAAGATACACTATAAAATGAGTTGGTAATGGATGAACATGGGCAATATGGACTCGTTTCATTCATAGTGAATCAATTATACTGGTTTTCTATTTAAATTAATGACATAAATCAGAGTTTTAATCGTTGCAAATTCTTGTTATATGCTGATGAATTCAAACGATCAAGATTTAAATCGGTTGAAGTTGCACGATTGATTTGTATATCCTGACAATGTGGAAGTTTTATTTTTGGAAATGTTCCTCGCTCACATTACATTATTACTATAAAAGATTTGTTTCACAGACAGTTAATAAATTTAAGATACGTTGATGTAATATATTTGTCATATCTTCAAAAACTTCAATAATCTTTTCAACAGAAATGGGTATCTTTGGAATAATGCAATCGAGAAACGTGTTTCAATCACCTACTGATCATCATCTTAATCTTCCTCTTGAAGATGATCACTTGGTGACTGAAACACATGCCTAAATTCAGTTTCGGTTGTGCTTTTCAGGTCGCTTCAGTTATGCGCGGTATGCAGTATAACAGCGTAACTGAAAAGTTTGCCTTCAGTTTGAATTTTCAGTGCGGCTTTTATATAAGTGCCTTGTAGAACCTCATAATTAACATACGCCTGATTACTTGTCACCCTCTTCACTTTAGTAACGTGCCTTCTACCTTGAAGATAACTTCGAAATGGAATTAAGGTCTTGTCACGTATTCCCAAGTCTTTCATTGCAACCAACAAATGTTTGTGACTAACACTATCGAAGGCTTTTGCAAGATCTAGGTTCTGCTTTTCCGCAATCTACTGCTTTGTTAAGATTTCCAGTGAGCTACTCTATAGCAGGGGTCTCCAAACTACGGCCCGCGGGCCGCCAGAGTCATCAATCCGGCCCGCGACAGCCAATGATTTACTGTCGTCAATCTGGCCCGCGACAGCCAATGATTACCTAATTGTTGTCACTATTGCTGTGATGAGTTGAAGAAGAAAACACATAATGATAATTACTTGGTTTTATTTACTTGCAAGGTAAAACTTAACGACAGAAATGATGACAAAGAAAACTTAACTGAAGTATCTAAGTTTGAGCATATTAATAACAAACAAATAATTGAAATGAATCACAGTAAAACAAAAACACTAATGAGATTTATGTAATTGTGATTTTCCACCGACAATACTTTGTAGTTGTGGATCATTTTACTTGTACCAATTATCAAAAGAGATTTAAGATGCTCATCGGTTAATTGAGATCTGTAAACATTCTTTGTGTACTTATTGGAACAAACTGAAAAAATCATTATGGCCCGAAGGCTTCAAAGTTTGGAGACCCCTGCTCTATAGCATCAATAGAACTTTTATTCGGCCTAAAACCAAGTCGTTCAATTGATATTAGTTCATATTTATTAAAATATTTTGTTAGCCGCAACTTAAAACTTTTTTCCACAATTTTACTAAGATTAGTTATTAATGATATTGATCTGTAATTTACCATTTTCGTCTTGGGGGCCATCCATAAAGTACGTCACACGAATTTTAGGACTTTTGAACCCCTCCCCCGTCCTTGTCACAGGTTGTCACATTTTTATAACCCCCCCTCCTGATGTGACGTCACACATTTTTTAAATTTATGTATGTATTTAAAAATAATCGAGAGAAAACAGCTATTTTCATTTTTTACTTATTTTTATTAAATAATAATCTAATAAAATCAATATAAAGTCCAACATTTCATAAAACCGAAAAAACAAACGACTAGTTAGAAAATAATAAACGATTAATTATATTAATTAAAGATAAAAAATTTAATTATCGAGTGTCCATGGACTTTGGATCCACTCTTTTATATCAGCTATTACTGGTAAATCAGGCACTTCATTTTCGTTCTGAATTTGAACGTCAGGAACATCCTTAGTGTCGACATCATTCTCTTCCATCCATAAAGCATCATCAACATTCATTAAACAGAGAATTTCTCGGGCACGTCTAGCCGCAATTCTTTGACGACGAATTTTCGCTATAGGTAACATTTCTTGTTTTTTATGTGATTGTTTGTGTTGATTAGCGGCTTTATATGAGGAAAAATATAAACTACATACGCTACACGATCTTTTAAATATGTATGACTCGACACTAGGGCAATAACTATCGTATGGAACTTGTTTCAGATAGGATGATGCTCGGAGATTTAATGACAATTGTAGTAATAATGGAGCAAACTTAGCCTCGTTGTCATCACTTCCTGCGACTACATAACCATTTGATTTTTGTTTAATCAACACAGGTGGTGGTAAGAATCCTCCTTTTAATAATTGCCAAAGACTAGAACGTCGTACTGGGCAACATGTGATAGTCTCGCATTTTACCATTCAAAATTCTCGTGAATTTGAGAATCTCACTTGTATTACAACGCCGCTCTAGAAGTTAAATGACGTTGCATGAGAGATTATCTCATAGCAAGAATGCTAACTTATTAATAAATATATATCAAGTTCGTAAATTTTTAAAATTTTCAATTCACATCCAAACTTTGCGTTTTAGTATTTTAAATTTTAACATGTGACGTCACAAAACTATTGTCACACGATGTCACACTTCGGTGATACCCTCCCTCCCCATTAACGTGTGACGTACTTTATGGATGGCCCCTTGTCTCCATTTTTAAAAAGTGGCGTTATAACTGCCAGTTAAATATGTGTTTGATACTATATTATAAATCATGAAATTATAAAACAACAACAAAAATTAATTGGCGCTTCAGGACGACTTCGTTGATTCCAGTTGCGCATTTGTTTTTTCAGCTGCAGGAAAATCCGGAAAAACCTGCAGCACCACATCATCTGAAGATCTTGATCTGAATCTCGTAAAACAAAATGTAGGGTGTCTCCGGAAGCTCCAATAAATTCAGAACTTAGTGTTCTGGCGATGTATTGTTTAAATGCTCTGGGGAATACACTTTTCCCATATATTCTATTTATTAAATATGCCAATGCCTTTGGTATCTCTGTGGCAATTTTTTGGAGAGTTTCAGCTGTAATAACTAGGTTAGATCAACTGAACATACGTACAGAGGATGAATGATTTTACGTAAGGCAGTTTGCAAAATAGTTTCACAAACAATATTTGAATAATATAGTATTATATATACCTTTATTTTTCAACCATGAATTTGTTTCAGAATCTCCTCGAAAAACTGGACTACCGGCCGAATTCGAAAACGAAAAAAAGAATATACCTGAAATTATTCCAGGAATGTGAGGACTGTAAGTTGATTCAATTTCAATATCTTGAAAGTATATTTTTGAATGTGTGACCACTTCAACATTTCAAAGTATTTAATTATCTTTTTTAATTCATATACATATAAGATAAACTCATTTATTTCGGCATTGCATATTTTTTATCAAAATAATTGACAAATTCACAGATATGTACTGTAACAATAATTATCAGCTAGACGTGAGGAAAACATATAAAAGCCAGTCAATTACAATCTTTTCATAGTCTTCTTTAATGGTTTCCAAGAAGACTTAAAAAGTTCTAAATCTACATTGTATGTTGAATTTTATCAGTTACGACTTCCATTTTCTAATATGATTCTAATGTGACTTGAAATCTTTCACGACGTTTCGATTATTAGTATCCACAATCGTCTTCGGGCGACATCTTCGAAGACGATTGTGGACAATGGGAGTCCGAACTAATGAAATTCATCAACTCTTAAACTACTTTGTATGTGTTTGCAAGTCTCAAAATTGAGAGATTTTTGTATTTATTGTTGTCGTTGGATTCACATTTTGAGTTATAAGTCCAACAAATTCCGGGGGACTGATGATACCATTGATTATTTTGTGGATTAGTGTAAGGTCTAATTGTAATCTTCTATGAGCCACAATATTCAAGTCAAGAATGTCCAATATGAATTTCATAGTTATATTCACCAACATGATAACCCAGTGTAATTGTTTTCAACACTTTCAAGCATATAAATATCCACATAATGTGAAGGGCACCAAATTGTAGAGTTCCATTTGATTATTGATCCAACAGTTGAACATGCTATGATTTTTAAGAAAGAGAGAGATAAATTCCTTTGCAGATCTAAGAGTGAAACCCAACATTTTCAGTGCTGTAGAAGTAACTTTGCAATATAGGGTTTCAATTACTTTTTTGGGTCAAAAGTGACCCTTAAAATCTTTGATTGTGTTTGTTGTTTGCAGTTCCGATTGCTTGATTTCATATGGACGATTTATGGGATTGTTGTTTCGGAAAATGGTAAATTTCTAACATTCGTCTGTATTCAATTGCAATAAGTTCATATCACACCATCGTACAACGTTAGATAAATTGTATTGTAATAATTCAGTATAAGATGAATCATATACATAACTTTGACCATCTTCAGATCATCAGCAAACAGATGACAGTCACTGAAGAGAATGAAATTATTCAAGTCATTTACAAATAGGTTGAAAAGTAATGGTCCTAAATGATATCCCTGCGGTACCAGGTACCATATTTTACATATTAAACTCTGCAGGCAAGATAATTTTCAATCCATTTCAGAACGTTTTTCTGAATACCAAAAAGGTTTAGTTATGCAGCAACAAATTGTAATTGACTCTGTCGAAAGTCTTTGAAACATCTGTGTAAATAGAATCAAACACTTGTCTATTTTCAATGGCATTTATTATAAAGTCTTGATCAATAAACAGATTCATACTGGTGGATCTGCCACGACTGAATCCATGTTGCTGGTTTATGATTATATGTCTACAATGCCATGATAGCTTTTTTGTTATTAGACAATCTAACAATTTGGGTAATTCACTTTTATATATAGGTTTCAATAAACTGTTTTCCCAGTGATTATTACTGGAGTTCATAACATTTAGACAGTGATTTAGACAGTCAGAAACTAGTTGAGTTATCGTAGAACTGACCAACTAAAAGTTTAAGTTAAAACTCAATTTTTACACAAAAATACATCAATATTAATGAATGTGAAATTTCTGCAACTTCTCGACTTTTTTGGTGGAGTTATATTTCTCACAATCTAGATGTCTGTGATTCGAATATTTTATTAATTAACACGTTATTATTAACTTCACCTGTATGTATGTGCGTATGTATGTTTATTTGTTTGTAACTGTATTCGATCTGTATTCTGTATTCGAAAGAATTGTCGATGTTATTGCTTGATCTATTCTCGGGCAGATGGCGCTGTACGTAATCTCCTTGATATATAAGCATTATAGCTTGATCTATTCGTGGGCAGATGGCGCTGTACGCCATCGGACTCGCATTACATGTATTTCTTTATTTGAATAAAGTATTGTTTTTTATCAACACGCGCGCCTGCTGCTCCCTCTCCGGAATCGGAAAATACCAATGGTCATTTTTCTAAACAATATACGGCTGATTGATCCCAAATTTTAGATAAAATAAATATAGTTTCAAAAGTCTAAAAAACACGCTTCTATAGAATATGAAATTAAAAAATGAAAAAGAAATATAGTTTAAAACACTAAAAAACACGCTTTTAAAGAACATCGAACTAAAAATAATATTTTTTTCAAATAAGCTTAAAATAATAACGAACGAAAAATATTAGTATGTGTTATTGTGGAAAAAGCTTGGGCGCTTTGTGACATATTTTTTTTATATCAAGCGTCCTTCGCTTTTTTCACAATAATACAAGTATTTTTCGTTCGTTATTGTTTTAAGCTTATTAAAAAAATCATTTTTAACTTTAGTTAGATGTTTTTTAAAAGCGTGTTTTTTAGTTTTTTAAACTAAGTATATTTATTATATCGAATATGTCATTCATTAACGAGGCAAATTTTTCACGAGATGCTGTAGAGTACTTTCACAATGACCATTTTTGGGCCGATGAAAATTCACACGTTATCGGAGATGTCAGTTTTCGTTTCAGCAAGACCAAATTGCTTAGAAAATAACATCAAAATCATTTTCTCACCAGAAAGAGCTCAATCACACAATCCTAAAATATAATTCAAAAATTCCAGTCCAGAGCACCTCAGCATCGATCCTGGAACACCCAGTAAATGTATAGAAATTGTATACCACGATATAACAAATGTATTAGTATTTGTAAATATTTTTGGTATCATTGTTATTATTCACCGTCGTAGGGTAGATATCAGGAAAGATAAATTGTTCCACTGTAAACAAAATTTCCTTTTGAATTAAATGCACTTCAGATCTGGCAACGCTGTAGAAAATATATTTTGTATGAGTTTAATTATGGCACGCTTTCTATGAATCTCTGGTCATTTCTCTTTATTTTGTTATCGTTATTTGAATGTGTGCATTCATTTGTGTTTGTATCGAAAACAATGCGGGTCGTTTTAAAGGCACAAAATGATGGTATGATAGATGAATATCCACTCAGAAATGGCATGATAACATATAAAAAACATATAAAAAAAACAGAAAGTTATAGATGGAAATTATCTATGTCCCTACAAAAACTGGCTGTTTTTATTATCATCTACCGAAAAATTGAAAAGATCCATTTCATTCTTGAATTGTATACAGAAGAAAATTGTTTGAATACAAATGGATCTGCTTCTCAAAATAGTTTAAAAGACATTGCACACCTCAAACTTCGAAGTTTTCGCAAATATTTTTTCTACACTAACTCAGACGTTGAATTCTAAAGTACATTTCCAATTTATTTTATTATTTACTACACCCAAATTGATCAAAGGCTCAGGTATGATATATGTCTCTGGAGAAATTCCACCTCAGCTTCGGATGTTTTCATTAGTCAAAAGCGTATATTGCGTACCTTGGTGTACAATATTCCATTCAGGGACTCATGTAAACCTATTTTCAAAATGTACGTAATTGTACCTCTTCCATATATATACATTTTTGAAATAGCTGTTTATATTTTTTATAATAGGTCGTTTTTGGGATCGAATGAAGATATTCATGGTTATCAAAGCAGCAGAGTGTTCCAAAACATTGTCATACGTGCACGTGACCTCCCAGACAAGGCTACTTATACAGAGTCGCACTAAGGAACTATCGAAATTTTATTTTTATTTTTTAATAATATGCAGCTGGGTATAGGAACATTTTTAGGTGGAGCGTAGGGACACGAATTAGCAGTTTCTTTAGTCGTATCAGTACTTGACATTTTAAAAATTTTAAACTTTAAAATACCGTATATGTAAAACAGAACTGGCTGGTATCTCAATCGCCATAAAAGAAATAACCAGGAAATGATTTTCTAGCAAAAACATAACAATCTGCACTGCACCATTTCGATAGCCTTTCTGATCATTCGAGAAGAGAAGTTTTCATTGCTTTCTAGTGTTTTTGTGTTCTCGAAATTGATGGTGTATCCTGTTGCCAATACTTGTTGGAAGAGAAAAGATGTGTTGAATTTTCCCTTCACTTCATCCTTGCGTACCTGTTGGTATGACCGATGTAAGTCTTGTCACAGTCTTGATATGGTACTTCGTAAGCTCCTTGGGACTTGAGTGGTATCTGATCTCTTGGATTTCAGAGCATGGACCCTGTTGTACGTTCTGGTACGAATGATGTTGCCATGTTGTGTTGGCGAAGAATTCCGCTGATGTTATGTGTGGTTCCTTCAATTATATGGTAGTATGGTTGGTATGGCTGGTGTATCTCGGGTTTTCTGCTGTTTCTGTCTGTTCTTGGAAGCCGCTTTTTTAATTTTCTCTAAGTAGTCATTCATTCGATGGTGTTCAACTCTTGTTGTCTGCGTTAGTTGTCTGCCCTCCTCCTTGAGCGTGTAATTAGTATTTTTGCCACAAAGTGGATTTGTTTTGGGAGGTGGTGTGAATCTGTGTTCACAATTCGTAATCTATACATAGCCTCCATTTTCTGTATTTCACTTCCGAACAAAATATCGCTAGATTTCGAAGAATTAATTTTTTGAAAATGTTTTCTCGATAATGCCATGAGTTGCAATAATAATTATATCATTCCTACCTTGTTTTTAAACATCTTAGATTCTCAATAACGAGACTTGTTCAGCTTTCTCGGTAATTTATTAGACATATATTCATATGTAGTTTTCAAGTTGTTATAAATGAATGAGTGGGCCCTCACTACGTTTATACACCTCGTTTGCTTTCTTACATCGCCCATTCGATATGGTTGGAGTTGGAACGTAGGTGTTAGTACGTACCATATGTTTCCATTTCATTGGATTTGTATTGTGTTTGAAAAAATATTTCCGTATGAACACGTTGGCTTAGAT